AAAAACCCAAAATGAAGGGGATCCTGATGTACAAAGACCAACTGAAGACAAGGATTTACCGGCCATGGGCGTTGATGGCTACAGTCTGATCCAAACAATGCCTGACAGAAGGCAACATTGGCACAGGCCAATGCAGGCATCAATCAGCAAACTCCACCCTCCGTTTAGCAGCAAGAAGCATCATACAAAAACGAGACACGAATAGAACCGCTGCTCCAGAATTCAGCAAGACAATGCGTCATCAGAATAGGTATTCATTCCCAAGCAAGAGCTTGAGCTGGAGTTCTGACTCTGGGCTACCCAGCGCGTTGCTCGCAGCCAGCGAGCATTTGTTGACCTCATCCTGGGTCATCCCACTCTCTATGGCCAACATGGTCCTTACTGACGCCTCAGGCGCGAACGAGCGACCGGAAGGTAACCCAAAACCAGCGGGAAGAAGGCGACCGGATGGGATTTGGGAGGTGAAATGCGGCCGATTCGATGGGGACCTTGGGTCGACTGGGGGCCTCGTGGCTTCACTTCCAAGCTTAGAAGCAAACGAAGCAGAACATTAAGACCTGTTGGCTTTATGGTGCATTGATAGTTGAGGCAGTGAAGCTCGTCTTGAACTGCCAAAACAACACCAAAGATCTCAATGCAGCCAAGGCTCGTCTTCCCAGCCAGCACCCCATGAAAATTGAGCCCAACTGCAGCATAAACCCTTTGATGTGTGGTGGAAATCGGGTGAACAATCTCCAGGACTCCATCGCTAGAAAACCACCCTGGTGCCTCCAAACCTGCCAACTGTTCGACCAAAAAAGGCGTGCGACGATGGATGTGATCACATCCTGTGTCTATGAACTGTGTCTTATCATTGCCAATCACTCAACAAGACAGATCCGAGTACATGGACTCCGAGCTCCCCTCCGAGCTCGCTCCCTACCACGTAGACGTCTCTACGTCTTCGGTTGGCCCAACGTTGGGCCGAACAAACGAAGCAAATCAGGTGGAAGGGAAGAGCGCATGGCAACGTCAAAGGACCGAGCCCACACACATCCAAATTCAGATAGGATCCGTTTCTTTTCTTTTGGGACACGGCGCGGAACCCGTTTGATGACGCTCATTGACGCTCCTGATCTCCCCTGATCTCCCCTCATTCTTCGTGAGACCCACCGAACTGAAACTCCCTCCAGTGATTCCACACCAACCAGCGACCCGACCGAAAGGCACGGTGGCGGGGCCCCGAGCCCAAGCGCCGAGCCTTCGGCACGGCAGCCATCGGGCTCTTGCGCAACACCTGCGGGCGCGGGCGGCGACGAAGCGATTAATCCGGTGCCCGGCGGGAGGGTTCGGGACGCGTTTTGGAGGGGCGGAGCCGCCACGGCTCTGCCACAGTTCGAGGATGTTTGAGCGGTTTGTGGAGTGCGGATGTTTGTGGAGAAATGCTCACTTCCTACGACACTCTTTTTTTGTCCAGATCTGAGTCTGACATCTTTACACCCAGAAATCAATGGTCCATCCCATCATCCATCCCCTTGAACAATTGGTCTGAGGAAATTATGCCCTCCATTATAAGGAATGTGCTATTGAATTTATTGCTGCCGAACACATCTACAGTACCTGTATGCAACTGTCACTGCCTTCGATATACCGGACGTATTATGCATTGACTGAAGTTTGCTTTGCAAACACATCTACCGATTTCTTCCTTCCAACGGCTCGCCCCGAGCCGCGCAAGGACGCACCGCCTCTGCCCTTGGTGGCTCAACAAGTCCACCCGCCAGCTGTCGTTGGTGACTGGGCGGGGTAAACCAGGTAGCTCCAGTCGATGGAGGGGATGTAGCTGCAGTCTGTGGTCTTGCTTATGAGCTCTGAATTTGTTCAATATTATCCCATGCATAGACACTGGAATCACTTGCCGGGCAACAAGTGGCGAAGGATAAATTCTCTATAAAATGACTGGCGGTTTCTATAAAAACTTATAAAAATGCACAGTCACATCCAGCAGTAGTAAAATATGGTTTGAAAAATGCAGAAGAACATGATAAAGCCACGAGCCTGATGATTACAAGTTTTAGCAGTTCAGGATCACTTGCCTTCCATTATATTAGTCGGGCATAGTCGGGCAATGGCGGGGCAAGTCCGTGCCAAAAACTTTGCTTGTTGGCTTAGCTCCCTTAACTATTTACCCATCTTTACCCCCATCGGAAAGCAAGTCTATAGAGTCTAGAGAAAGGCTCCACCGACTCGGCGCAGTTGATGATCTCAGCTCTGCGCTTGGCAATCAGGATGCTGCGGTCTTGGCATCACACCGCAGTTAAACTGTGCAAAAGACGGCACTTCCGCAACACGTTCGCCAGCAGAAACCCACGTTGACGACCGTAAAACCACCGACTGCGACATGTCTTCTCATGCCGCTGAGAGGTGTGGAATGCAGTTGGTCCCGTCTTCTTCCCCTCACCACTTGGATGCATTGAGGCGGACGCATTCGGTCAATGCGCTCTTCAAATCAAACCTCTCCTTAGCACCCGGATGGAAGTTCTTCACTGCCACCAAGCCAAATCTGGGGTCCAAGTGATTTTCTCTCAACAGGGAGAGGTTTTCTCAACATTTTGAACAACTTGTCAGCTACATCATGGCATGATTCCTAAATGTCGCGCAATGTTTATCCCTTGGATGGCTATGAGGGGATACTCATCCTGCAATTGGCCGCCCACTTTGGCACCTGCCCCAATGGTGAATCCCGACACACAGTCAATCCCAAAGAATAGGATAAACAGGGAGAATCAACCCAATTCAATACGTCCAACAAATCAATCATTTCCTGATATTTCCTGGTTTAAGCCCCCTTTGGTTTCACATGCTCATTCTTGAATCCAATCACAATGGCTAAGCAGCTATTCCTATCATTTCCAAACCCCAACTCCAACCACCATTTATACCAGCTATGGGCCGTGGTCACCTTCCTTTGTGCAAACCTCGACACTTCTGAGCTCCACTCCAGTTGGGCTCGAGCCAGGTGCCGATGGTCAGAGATGGGTGTAGGCCTTGGGTGGCCATGGGCGCAACCACGACCGTGGTGGACAACTTGGAGTAGGCTGGAAGCGTACAAAGACCGGAGCGTCGACAGCAAAATGCATAGCGAAACGATGAGGCATTTGTGGTCCAAACGATGACGAGGGATTGACGATGACAAGCAGGTACTGTAATACATTGTAATACAGTATATAGGTAACGCAGCGATTTGAGCTGAGACATGTGGTGAATTAAAGAAAAACACCTCCGCATTTGCCAGGGCCACAGGCCACACTGATGAGCACCGTGTGTCTACGTGTTTCGGAACGAAGGCCGGACCACCGGTTCACCGGACCGGTCAAATACCCCCAAACGACCCACTTCGGGTCAACGGCAGAAGATGCATTGAATGCCCAAAGCTGTAAAGCTACCATTTGGGGGAATAGATTTTGGGTGGCAGCATGTTGCCCGCCTTTTCGAGAGACCCCCGGGCTGCAACAATGCCTCTCCAGGATCAGGATCTAAGGCCGGCACATGTTGCGAGCAGTACCTCCACACAGCACCAGGCCCCTGCTATCTTTTGCTTGTTCTTTGCCCAAGTGATTTCTGAAGAGCTGGTCTTGACAGAAACACAATCCACCCTGATGTCCACCCTTGGGAATGTTATACTATATTGTATAATATAACTATACCAAAACGTCATCAAAGTTCACCCAACATCTGTGTATACGGAAGTAAATCGCGAGAGACTTGATTTGGTAGCAAAACCGTGCGAAACGTACACCCCAGTCACCCACATCTCCTAGGATCAAGGCACAACTCATACCGCAACGAGCCCCTGACTACTGCTGTGGGCTTTCAGGTTGGCCATGGCCTCAGCGAGAAGGCTCACCATTGGCATGGAGCAGCTATTCCATACATGGACGGTCTGGGTAAGTACATGGCCATGAATTCAATCCGCCCTTGTTGGCCTCCCCAAACCGAAGAACATGGACAGCCAGCTACAACTTTCTATCCATGAGCGCGACTTTTGCAGCGTTGTGCCCTACACGCACCACCTCTCCCCGCCTCAGTACCGCCTTGGGCGGCCAGGTGCCAAGCTCGCTTCGAATTGAAGAAAAGGAAGTGATCTCGGGTGATGTGATGGTGTGACGTGTATTCATCCATGATGTGGTGACTGATCGTGATTTTAATCCATGAGATGGGGACCGCATCAGCCTGTTCTTGTCTTGATCAAAGGCTGGGCTAACTTCATTCCGTGGGATTATTGAATCATACGATTAATCAATAAGAGACTGCCGAATGAATACACAACGTATGCCTGGTGGTGAGTCGATTTAATCTTGACAGTCCCTCTATGTTATGTAGCACCTCCTGTCCTGTCCAACCACTGAAAAATAACCGCTTAGGCCACGTCATATCGAGTTTGGGTGTCTTAAAGTATGGTAGGAGTGAAGTGCGGATTGACACGTCCCATGCATCTCTGACAAAGTGACTGAAAGCCGCTAGAAAAGCTCGGGCCAAATCTCCTGCATAGTGAATCATCCCTTGGTAATCTGCCAAACTCGTAACACTGGATGGTGATGGCTTGCAAGAACCAAATTCCCAAACATCATAATGCTGTTGGTGATGGTTCAAGTCAAAAGACCTCACAAAAATAGCAGCGTTTCACTGGGTGGCCCCCGTCAAAGTAAACTGCCAGTGCTTTGAAGAAATATCGCTTGACCACACCCAACCTTTAAAATACAGTACCTTGATGTAGCAACCCTTCCAGTTCACTCGGGAAAACACAAAAAATAAACAACCTAGGGTCGGCGGTCACCACGGGTACATAGATCACCCTTCAATATAAGAAGAAACATGTTGAAATTGGAGACAATGAGACAAGAACTATTTCTCCTATCACGGTTTCAGGCGTGTGACCCACACCAAATGACCCCTCGCAAGGGTACCCCAGCGTAGACTTGTGCATGCCATGACGCGACCTCAAAACAGTAGTTGCTGAAGCCCTGAGGAGAAGAATGTCAAGGGACCCCGAAAGGGGTGCATGACGGTTGTTCTTAGAGCATTCTAGAATCTAAACATCAAACAATTCCAGCCTAAAGTCTGCATGTCCAAACACGCCGGAATCCCAAGGAAAGAACCCTGGCCAACTCCCCATGTCTTTGGGCTCCCGTGGCACCCACGCCAGCGACCTCTTTATTTTCGAATCATCAAGGTCTGCAGGCCCAACGAACGGCCCATTAGGTCCATTGAAAGTGACCCCCGCCGTGCAACGGCATTCAATCAAAAAGTTGGGAAGATGCATGCGAGTGGCGCCACTCGCCTTGCGGAAGATTCTCGAAGCCCGCCAAACCAGATCTCCAGACCAGACTGGCTACAACCCCATGGTAGCCCCATCAGAAAGTGCCATTAAGGTCTCCTGATCTTCTACCTTTGGGGCTTCTCTGGTGAGTCCGAGACCCAAACATCCGGTGGCTGAACCGTGCCGCTGGGACGGCCGAAGCCGCTCGTGGCGTTGAGCGGAGAAGCCGGCGGCATCAGGGTGGAAGTCCGCCCATGAGAGCCAAATCTGCCAGGCTCCGATTGGAGGACCTCAGGTGGCTGGGTCTGAAAAGGACGGCAAGGCTGGGCAAGGCAACTGGATCGACCAAAAAGCGTGGACGACCTGCAGTCGGTTCATGAATTGATTGACATCTCAGGAAGTTATCATTTAGCTCCTTCACCTTGAGGTTCAACTCCTCTCTCTCCAGCGCCCCCCGCGGTTTCGAAGGCAGTTCACTCCTTCAACCTGAGCCTCCAACAACCTGCTCCCAGAGCCACGGCGATGCAAGGCCTCGCGGTGAGGACCGCGGCCCCACGGGGTGAGGCACCGAGCTTCTGGGCATGAAACACCGACTGCCGTCCGTGTGGGCTCATGGCACCCAGGTTGCCTGGACCGACCTCCTGGTACAGGTCGTCGGTTCTGCGTTCGGTGGGAAACTCCAGCTCCCCAGTGCCATGGCCCCACAGAACTGCTGCGAATTGACTGCTCTATCCACTTCTTCTGGTCACGAGTGCAAAGTGAAAATCCTCAGAGGTCAGCTACCGCCCCACGTTCTCACAAGGGGAACAGCTGCTTTTGTCATCATGTCCCCGGATCTTTTGAAGAGCTGCTTTGGGGGAATAGCTCAGCTCGAGTGAGGGCAGTTCCACAGAACGAGCGTCCCCTCTGTCCTAAACAGGTTCTGAATACGAACACATAAACCCCGCAAATCCCATCCCCGCAAATCAGCATGTCCTTGGCTTTCGGGAGGTGCATCTTCCTCAGCTTCAGTGGATTTCTGGTGCTGTCGACCCCGAGCCAGGTGGAGTTGGAAAGCCATGATCGCAATCAAGGCTACAAACGTAGAAAGCCTCTTTGGAGGTCGCAATTGAGGGTGAGCTGGTGCAAATGAAGAACGGGCAACGCCTTGGAGAATAGACCTGAAAAAACACATCCGACACTGAAGGCTACTTGTGGCTACTGACTCTTTTTGGCAACTGGTCAGACTGGTCATGTTCCTTTGCTTGAACATCCCGCCCAACAGGGCCCAACGACTCTTTAAATGTCAATTGTTTATATAGTAGCCGAGAGTCTTTGCAAGCTGCGTGGCGGGCCCCGTCTGTTCCTTGTGCAAAGCTTGCTGGTGGAAGGAGGGCAGCCTCACATGTGTGAAGCCGCAACAGGTGCAACGTGATGTTTCCAGGAGACTGGCGCTCTTCTGTCAATGGCAGAAGTCAATCAACTGGCCAGAATCGCAAAGAATACCCTCGGCTTGACCTCAGGAAGTTTGCACCTTCACCAGCTTGATCCCAAATGCATGGTGAGGACTCCAGTGAGGACTATACTTTAGCTGGAGCTGCGGCTCGAAGTCTTGGGTAGCTGCGGCTCGAAGTGATCACCCGTCCGCCAAACGGCCGCCGCACTTCGCACAACTCGTCGATGGACCTTCTGAAGAACCCTGAATCAAAAGGCTTAAGCACGAAACCCCTGGAACCGTACCCTGGCTCAGGAATTCAACAGGACATATGAATACTATGAATAACATATATACATATATTCATATATATATATATACCAGGACCCTCCAAAGGGGTGTCTATTTATAGCCCCTTAGCTGTGATTCGGGGTGTCCATTAACCACCCCCGACTGGGGGTCCTGGTATATGCCATATCATCACTAGACATGAACTGAACATTCGAACACTTCACGCCTCCATGATCCCCACACGCCCAACGACCTTTACCAACCAAGCGATCAGAGCGATGAGCTCACGATGTCGAGAGTGCCAAGCTCCAGCGTCGGAGTCGCACAGTGTGGCCGAAAAGGATTTCAACATAAGGGTTTCAACATCTGGGAAGTTCTGATGATAGACTATGATGATATAGCTGGATCTGTGATAATGATAGACTTATTACGATCATGAATCATGATTTACTTTGTGGTCCTAAAATGACGATGCCACACTTAGCCGGCGTACTCCGACTGTCAGCCGTCATTTTGGGAATCGGGAAAATCTGAGGGAGGAGAGCACTCCCTCAGCCGCAGCGGCAGGTTTGCCCCCGTTATTCCAATGCATCATTCATCGATCATGGCTGTATCTGGTGGTTTCAAGAGGGTCCCCTGAAGCTTACTTTTTGACCATGACACCAAGGTGAAACATAATCTGATTCCATCTGATTCCCCTTGCTACCCTGAACACCCTGAACAGGCCGCGTACTTGCCTTTATTGGAGAACAGGGGCCAAATGATGCATGGTTCCATTGGCATCTAGTCATCTTCTGAATCCATATCAAAGGAGGATATCATATGGTGCCAGTTGGGGGAAGGGAGAACAACAATGTGGCTGTGGGTCAGGGCTCCAGGATACCTTTGTTCCAGAAGACCAGGGCTCCAGGCTTTGACCCATCCCCATATGCGTTTGTCTTCCATGATCTTCCATGTTATTTCGTGAATGCAGCAAGAAGGATGTTGGAGTTGACCAGCCAGGGCCACGAGCTGCAAACCAGAAGCAAAGCATGACGCTCGTGTGCGCGACAAGCAAGCTAAGAAGTCATTGTCAAATTTCGCTGTCTGAGGCCAATCAATGATCACATAATCCGTTTAACAGTTGTGTTCAAAACACTTATGAGCACATAGAAAGATATCAAGGTTCCTCACATGAAACCTTGAAGAAGAAGCAAGAGTTGGACCAACTATTGTAATGGTTATTAACATATCATCCGAGATTACACCAGGGAGTGGGACACTTGCTAAGCCTGATGAAGACGGGGTTGAAAACTGTTTTGTCAACATGGGGCACTCCTACACTCCTACAAGCCACCTACATTGCCTATCTATCTATATCTATCTATCGATCCATCCATCCATCTGTCTATCTATCAATCTATAGGGCCAACGGACCAACTCAGGCCCAATGGAGGTAGCAAATGTAGTGCATCATCCGCAGTCTTTAAGGTCTTTTTTTGGTCGAGCACCTTCTGGGTTCACAAGTGCACCAGGTAAAGCTGGGTTGGCAACCAACAGCGATTCAAGGATGGGCCAGAGTTTTTTGTAGTTTTTGTTGGCCAACGGGGAATGTAGCTGTGAAGGTTTATGTAGTTGTGGTGTGTCCTTTCTCTCCCTGGCCAATGGGGGAACCGCAGGATGATCCGCCAAGCAGGGCCATATCTCGTCCTCACGAGAACTGCGGCAACTCCACATGAGACCCAGCCCTTCCGGGCTCCACGGCCGGCGGATCCCAACAAGCCCCCGGGATGCCGGAACTGCGCGTGTCGAAACACCTCGGCGGCGATGGGTTCTGCAGAGACGGATTCGTTTTCGGACGAAGAAGGAAGTCGCGAGTTGAAACGGAAACACATCTCCCCGAGCTCTGCGTGCTTGCTGCAACAGTCTGTAGGCAAGACTAGGCCCTCACTAGTACTTACATTGACCCATTGGCTGTCGAACTATATATAGTCATTTTTAGTTTGTGATAGTTTCGCATGAATTTTCGTGTGTCTGTCGTTTCACACCTGAGCAGAATTGCCACTGGGTCCCATTTTCCCAACAGAACACACCTCCGCGACCGCCCCGGAGTTGGCCAGGCGGCTCAACGCAGCAGCTCCCAAGGACTGGTGCCAAAGCTGTGAGGATCAGCACTAGGCGTGACCACCATCTCAGCGTGGGGTCGCCTGGGCAAAGTGAAATTTGCATTTCTCTGCCAAGTTGTGGCAAAACTGTCCTGTCCTAGACTATTAGTTATCCGATATCCTTTGTCCTATACTTAGTGGGAGGTCATCCTTTGGAAGATCCACAGGGCCGGAATTGCGTGGAGGATGGTCAATCTCAAACATTTCAAGTACAGTATCCGGAAGTATGATGAAGTATGATGAAGCATGTGTGTAGTGCCGTGAACTTTTGACCCCTAAAATCACGTGACCTAGACAGTTTTTGGGCCTCTTCTGCTGATATATATATATAAGAATCGCGAGAGCGTCTCCACAAAATACCCCCGGCCCAATATACCGAGGTCATTACTTGAAGCAAATGCACGTTCGGTGCTTGAAACCAAACCACCTCGTCCCTCGGCCACAAACCTCAAAAACACCCAAAAGTTGAAGGATGACCGCATTAGCCTCGTGCAGCTTTCCTTCTGGTATGCAGTAGCCGATGGTGCACTAGTAGCCTGGTGCATGGACAGCCTGCCCACACCTCACAAAAGAATTCTGGAAGGTGTGTCCGAAGTGGTGGGTAGTTCTACTGATCCACTTCTGTTGTCAGGGTCCAGTGTGTCAAGCTTGTTTCAAGCTGAAACAAGCTTGTTTCGGGCTTATCCCTTGATCCAACCAGGGTCCCTACGTCATCCGGGTGATTGGATGACAATGACCCATCGAAGAAGAACACCAGGTCGTAGACCGTTTATAAACGTTGTATTGATAGAATGTTTCATTCTTCCCCGAAGGCTAGACACATTATAGTGGATTGAGAGTAGATGGCACAGACCCCCAAAGGTGGTTCATATAGAATTCCATCTAAAAGACATCTTGAGGTCTGTGCCATCTCCTCCAAAACCACTGTATATAATATATACAATATACATTTCCAATGGCTCAATGCACCGCATTGTTATATCACCCTTCTCGAGGTTTCCATGGCTTGGATCCCATCGATCATCGGCCGAGGAGTATGACAGCAATAAACCTGACTTCTGCCATGTAGCAGCAACAGAAAAATCACAGTCTGGCTTATGTATACTGCATCGATGCATACAGTGCAATCGCCGAATAGAAGAGAGACACTTCACTCCTGACGGGTACTCTCACCTCCTATCCTCGATCCATCCAGGTGGCAAATGAGGTCATGCGTGTGGTAGTAGAAGTAGAAGCCCGAGAGGAAAAGCACAACTGTGGGGATGCATAGGCAGCTATTCACCTCAAGACACGTATATACGCAGGATTACGCAGGGCTGCGGCGGTTCCGCCTCCGGAGCCTTTTGGGTGCATCCACCTGGCCTTTCTTAAGCCCTGGAAGTCCAAGACTCTTTAGGTGATCCGAAAAATCCTTTACTTCGGTGGTGCGAAGCTATCGTCTTTGGATGTCTTTGGACTTCCAAAGTGGGTCAGGGTTTATCACAAGGACAACTCTTGAGATTTGGACGGACTGACCTTCTAGACTGCTCCTGCCTGAGGGGGGCGTCATGCAGTGGCGTTTCCATGCTTTTCCTGAAGTTGCTTCAAATTCCTCCCGGTTTGGACGGACCAAAACCCAGCTACAACCAAGGACCAAGTACCTTAAATCAGGTGGACCAAACATTGCTAGTCCCTCCTCAAATCTTTGCTTTTTGAGGCATGGCATGGCATGGTACTTGGCATGGTATATAGTTGAAATTATTACTGTAACTGTCAGTCTTCCCAAAGCAATAGCACGCAGAAAGCGGCGCCTCAACCGCTTGGACCGCAGAAAGCGGCGCTTCACCTCTCCAACCAAGGAGAGCTAGTTGAGCTCTGTTCCCCCAGAATCGGGATTGGAAAGAATCCCCAACCAACCAACCAGCGACGTTAATTGAAACATTGACGTGAATTGAAACCTGCAACCAACCAACCAACCAACCAACCAACCAGCCAACCAACCAGCCATGACTTTCGTCCCTACTTGCTTGTCTTGTTCACTCCCATTCAGGTGCTCTCCCTCCTTTGCCTTTCCACATCATGATAGCAGAAAAGCCGCATGCTGGGCGCAGGCCGACAGTTGCTCCTGGACCGAGAACGGGCAGGTTCCAGTTGGAGACTCCCTCCTCTAATTGCTGGCATCTCCTTCTTTCTGTTGAGCAACGTAGAGGAACACGAACCTGCAACCATTGTCTTGGTCTTCAGCCTTCAGCTTCCCTTGCCAGAACGACCCTGCTTTGATCATGTTGGCATGTCATCGATCTTCCGAAAAATAGGAACATTGGGAGATGTGGTCCCCTTCCAATTGACCACCTGACACGTCTAGCACGGCCTTGCATGGTGCATATAGATGCATTACTCGATGTGGTTTGTCCATCGCACAGGGCTGGTGGGTTTCACCACCCAAGATCCAAGAAGATCTGATTGATATTCCGAGAAACTTTGCGCTTACACATCACAAATCCCATCCCTTGCCTTTCAACATTCAACCGTACAACCATGTAGTATCATA